GGTTCAAACAAAATTTTGTAGTGCATGTATCTAATGTACTTTCAAGGTTAACCATTAAGCCATTTGGTATATGTTATGCCATATCACAGGTCTTCTGTGCACCTAATATTTTTCTATGAGGCTGAGACAATGATCTCTTGTGGAATTTCTAGCTTGTGCTGTCTGCATTTCTATGAGTTCTTGCAGTATGGAAGTGGAGCTAGACAAATTCTCCTAATGGAGGGAGGAGGTTCCATACTTAAAAAGCCATGGTATTTTTCAGTTATTTCATTCCCCTTATTTTATGGGAAGGTAACATAAGAGCTGAAATAACTACCCCAATATTCCACTTATATGTCCATATTTTATTAATAATCTAATAGGTATAAAAGTGTCAAATGTGACCATTGTTTTATTGGCTTAATAGAGTTAATGCTATTTTAGGAATACATCACAGACAAGCTTGCAGCAGAACTGATGACTTCTGTACCAAAGGGGCAGGGAATCAGGCCACAAACAGGGTGCACACCATTTGGGGTGGGGATAGGAAATAGGTAGAATGTAGCAGGGGCAAACCTAGAGGATTCTTTACTACACAAATATTTCATTGCCCTCCAACTAGGATGGGGTACATGTAAAGGGCCATGCAGGCTAGCTGAGTGCAGTATCTGCTGCAGAATGGTTTTACATCCTGTCTGTAGCATTTCTGACTCAATATTCAGAATGAGCCTTTATAGCATTGCTCGTAATTTTAATGTCACTGCCTACCTTTTCTCCAATGGCATGTGTCCTCATTTTAACATTGATAATCATGTGGGTGAATGTGTGGATTCAGTAAGAGGGAGCTGATAGGAGAATGGTTGCCAGAATATGTTATTTTAAGGCAAACAACTATGTATCCTGTTCTGGAAATAATTTGGATAACATATCACAAGGATTAGCACTGGTTTACATATACACTCTGGTGACATGAACATTTTTTGAAACATGTGCCATTATTGTTGCTTAAGCATATTACACAACTATTTGGGTGTGTCTAGACTGGCAAGATTTTGTGCAAAAACGACTGCTTTTGCACAAAAACTTGCCAGCTGTCTACACTGGCCGCTTGAATTTGCACAAGAGCGCTGACTTTGTAATGTACAAAATCAGTGCTTCTTGCGCAAATGCTTTAACGCTCCCACTCAGGAAAAAGCCCTCTTGCGCAAGAATACTTGCTCAAGAGGGCCAGTGTAGACAGAGAAGAATTGTTTTGCGCAAAAAAGCCCCAATGGCTAAAATGGCGATCGGGCTTTCTTGCGCAAAATCGTGTCTAGACGGGCCACGGATGCTTTTGCTCAAAAGCACTTTTTGCGCAAAAGCATCCGTGCCAATCTAGATGCGCTTTTGTGGAAATACTTTTAACGGAAAAAGTTTTCAGCTAAAAGTATTTCCGCAAAATCATGCCAGTCTATACACAGCCTTTTTGATTATACAAAATGAGTGGCATAAAGCAGACTTGAATACTATAGATAATTAAACTAATTATAGACCAGGTTTTTTAAAAAAAAATTTTTGACAGCCTCATGGCTAAATGTTCACAGTTCACATGGTATGCATGGCTGCTCAGTCCCCCTTCATCCAAACTGCTGCAATTTCCCAAACAGCAGAAGGTCATGGCAGCTCTTGGGCAGTTAAGAGGCTGGTTCCATCCTGGATGGCATGGAGAGGTGGAGTCCTAGCCAGGAAAGGAAGGGTAGCAAGGGGTGGGGAGTGAGGCAGCAGTGTGCGGGGGGAGGGGGGAAAGGGGCATGCCACGTGGACATGGGGTGTTACACACACCACCTGGATCAGTGTGCAAATGAATCTCGTAGCTCCAGCTGCTCTGGCCAGAACAGGAATTTGGGTCTGACTCACTCCAGGCTTAGCTCAAGCCCAGGCCACAATTGCTGCTTCCCATCTAGCCAGTGGGAAGAGAGGATGGTGTTAACCTCAAGAATAGGGGACCTGACTAGCCCTGACTCCCAGCAGCCCCCACAGGCCCAGGGAAGACACCACACCACCAGCTATCAAGAAGCTAAGACCAGGATCCACACATACCTGTTCCTGTTCTAACAGCAGCAGGTCTGACTGCTGTGTCAGCTACAGCAGGAAGGAGGGAACTTAGTCTCAGCTCCTGGCCAGCCAGCACTCTGGTGTCTGCCTCTGAATCTGCCGGGGGCTGCTGTGGGGTTGGGTGGAGTTCTTAGTCACTGTGTTGTCAGCACCAAACCTCTTCTTCCTGCCACGTGGACAGGAAGGAACACTGAGGTCTAGATTGGAGCTGAGTATAGAGTAAACCAGAATAGGATTGGCTGGTGCACACCCTAGTCATGGGATAAAATGGCCCATCATCTCCTTCTGGACCTGCTCTGCTAATCACCCTATGAGAACTTGTGGTCTCATCAGGGAGGTAGAAACAGAGATCCTTGTTTCTACCTTGAAAAAAAATGTAGTATTGAGCTAGTTTTACAATTGCTGTAAAATCCATGAAATCATAGGCTCTTAACCTAACTTTATATGTATAGAGTTTGCCCATCTGTCTGTCTGTCCATAATTTCATTTGTGAGTCCATTTGCTCAAGAATTCTTCCTAATCTAAAGGAGCTGGGACCACCAAATTTGGTATACAGCTTCCTCTTAAAGCAAACTCAGGGTTTGGTTGTGCTAGGACAGTGGGATATGTCTGGAAACAGATTGTTTTCCATAAAAAGGAAATAGGCGTCAGAGTGACCACAAGGGGGTGGCCACACCAGGAACAGAGTGGCCAGCTGAGCCCAGAGCTCTCCATATTACCTCCAGTCACTGGTAAGTATTCCCCAGCCATAACCCTATCCCTCTATCCCTCAGCCACAGTGCTGGACTAGGGGAGGAAGCCCTGCTGGCCAATAGTCCTTCTGCTGCAGCCCCTCCTCTGCAGCCATCTTGGGAGCATCACTGAGCATGGCCCGTGCACCCAACCCCGGGGCCAGCCAAAGCAGCTCCCTGACCAGGAGAAGCCACGGCACACGGACGGGCAGCACAGCCACAGCACACACCCTTCTCCCACTGAGAAGCTGCAAGCTGGGGCCAGGCAGTGCAGCTGCCATTGCTGGAGAAACACTAGCCTCACTGCCACATATGGCCCCAGAAGGAGCCCCCTCAGTCCACCCATCCTTCTGCCCTGGGCCCCCTGGCCTGGGTCCCCCATCCCTGCCCTAAGCCCTTCACCCTCCCTGGCCTGGGCCCCCAACATTTCCCATACCTTGCCCTGACACGTGCACCCTGATCTTCTGCCTTGAGCTTCCCACACCCAACCCCTGCCCTGACTCCTGCAACACCCTCCCCCTGCCCTGAATTCCCCACATGCCCAGCTTCTCTCCCTAAGCCCCCATTCCTTCCTTAACTCCTGCACCCCCCCATCCTCTGCCCTGATTTCTACACCCATCTTCTGACCTGACCTCCTTACATTCCCAAACCCCTGCCCTGACTCCTGCACCCTCCACAGCCCCAAGTCCATGCTCTGAAGGACCGAAGCAATGCTGGGTAAGCCTTATAGTTATCTAAATATGTATATTTTGAAATACATCTGTATATTTGTGGGTCTGTCTTCAAGTCCATTTGTTCAAGAACTCCTCCTAAACGGTAAGACCTAAGGCCACAAATTTGGTATGCAGCTTCCTCCTCTCCTTAAAGCAAGGTCAGGGTTTGGTTGTGTCAGGAGAACTGGAAGCCCTGGAAAATGGGACAGTTTCCCATAACATGCAAAGTGAGAGGCTGCTGATCAGAGGCACACGATATGAGAGTGGCACCCAGGAGCAGTGAGCCTGCAGGTGAGAGCTATCCCACAGAGTGTCCACTGGGGGCAGCTGTACTACCAAGGGAGTGGCCAGCAGGGCTGGGGTTATGCCTTCTTGCCTGCCAGCACACTGGTAAGTATCCTCTCCTCCCACCCCAAACTCTTCCCCCCCTTCCAGCACTTGGGCGCAGCATCGGATGGTAGGGAGGAAGGCCTCTGGCAGCTGGGGGTGATCTGGGAACAGGCCCCTGGTGGGCAGGGGGAACTTGGATGGAGAAGGAACAGGCCCCTGGTGTGTGTGTGGGGGGGGGGGGCCCACAACCCCCCCCCCTG